GCAGTGCTGTGCTTGTGACAGGCCTGCCACCATCCAGTAGCTCAGTCCTGAAGAGCTTTAGCGAGAGGCTTATTTGAGGGCATTTTGTAATCAGCGTCTCCAGACAATATATGCTGCCTCATCAATTTACAAACCTCTGAGAATTATTCTGTTTTCACAGTTGCCTCTCCATGCAGCCTTTTGACAGTTTTAAAGCCATCCGTGCTTCCTTAGAAATATCTAAATAGGAGGTTTTAGTCCCATCTGGACCCTGGCTTAGCATACGTTTCTAAGAAACCCGCAGGATTATGGGGACTTTATCACCTTCTTCTGTAAAGTATTGGGTCCAACCCTTAAGAAAACTGAAGCATGTTCAATCTGAGGGATACTGCTGCATAAACAAAGAATGGTGTCCCTGCGTTTAGTCAACAAGGATGGCTGCATTTCAGTAAGTTCATGAAGATGTTTAAGGAGTAATGACAGCCACGGTTTATTGAGCATTTACTATGTATAAGGCACTGCATTTAGTCCTTTGCGTATATTATCTTTTCAACCCTTCACAGCAACTCTCTGCAGTAAAACTATAATTTACTCTGTTGTCCATGTGAAGATGAGGAGCTTCAGCGAGTGGAATAGCCTGCTAAATTCCAACCAGTGTAGAAAGTAGGACAATTTGATGTTAGATCTCAGTCATTTAGTCACTGAGCCATGATGATTTTTTTGTCATGTTAAAGCATTATAAGGATTTATCAGGTGTAGAAAAAAACTTCCAATCCCCAGATTTGGTCAAATCTGTTGCATGAGACTCATTAGATATTCTTTTGTCTGCGGTGTTGGGTGAAACAGCATTATTATGCATTGCATGGTGCGGATTAACCACAGTCGCATTTTTCAAAATTGCAGACATAAGCAATTAATTGTACTACTGTCCTAACATGTTCATGGAAGCAAAGAATAGAACAGTCACAACATAAAAGAGAAATTTAATCCCCAATTCAAGTGAAACCTTCCTTCATTCCCCACCCCCTTTTTTGTTCTTGGCTTTATGGGTAGAAAGGAATGAATACTATATTACTAGGTGTATCACTGACAATGGTTTTCGGGTTGAATGTTTGAATTCTTAAGCTAAATGAGCAGTCAGTGACTGAATTTTAAAAAGATATGGAAGCATTTTTAATATGCTATTATTTACTTGTCATTTATTTGATATTCCATTTAGAAATGCCACAGAATTTTCAGCAGCCTCCTATTCTGAAACAATAGATTTTACTAATACAGACAAAAGATAAGTTATTCATACAAATCAATATAAATTATCTTAATTTTTAAAATTCTACTCACAAAATTTTCAAAATTATAATCTAAGACATTTTACAATTTAATTCAAAAACATTTACTATGTGAACACATGATGGGGAAAAGATTAGTCATCTTTTTATGTTTCACATGTTTACTTGGGAAATAATGTTGAATGTATACTACTACTTAAGAAAACTCTAATACAATAAATATCATTATAAGATTTTCTGTTCATGGAGTTACTACTATAATCCAAGTGGGTTCATGTCCATTAGTAACCTACTGTCAAAGCTCCATCTAAGATTTGAATCAAGTAGCTGTAGTGCTGACCCCTTTACTCTCTTCACAGGCCATTTTCTCTTAAACTGTTTGGGGTGGAAGGAGTTTGTCTCATGTTCACTCTTGGCTCAGAGCAGGTCATACCTGACTTCTGTGATATTGCCAACTTCTAAATCCATTATCTATGTTGGGATCTGCTTTGATTTTGCCACTTCTTTTACTTTTGTTATTTCTCTTACAGTTAAAATGAGGTGGATGTTTGGGGGAAAAAATATCCTTTGCCCAAATTTTGGAGAAAACAAGGAATGACAGACATCACATTCCAAAGAAATACAACTACTATACACCAATACAGCCTCTGATCACAGGACCCGGCTTTTAAAAATCACCATGGGTCCCACTTTCTTACGTGATTCAACCCATCCCTCTTTTCAGGATCCCAGCCAAAATCTCTAGAAAATCTTTTTGTTGTAATATATTTAGCTAGATGATCTAGTTATGCCTGATGGATCTTGTGTTTCATAGCTACAAAGACCCATTAGTAAATTTCCCCACACTTAAAGAAATAGTTCTTTCCTTAAAAAAAATGTTTCCTCTTGCTGGATCAGTGGCTCAAATGGCAACCAATTTTCACACTAACTTTTCTTCAGTTATACCAAGTTAACAATAATTTAGTTAAATCAATAAATATATTATATGTATTACAAACTCTGATGAGGAGAGGGTTGAAGATAAGAAGGTCGTTTAAATGTAATTTACTTTATTAGATCATGTGTGAAGATAGAGGATTGGAAATAGGCATAAAAAGAAGAGAGGGCTTACTCAGTCTTGACTGACTGGACACAAAGTGGTTCCAAAGGTCAATTTGAAGTTTTGAGCATTGAAGAGTGTCAGTCTTCTGGTACCATCACAGGATAGGAGAGGGGCTCATCTCCCCCAGTTGCTAGTGGAAGTGGGGTTCTTGGGGCACCACTGGAATAAGTATTTCTGGAGGCCCCCACAGGAAGGTGAGATATGGTAGGAAGCTTTATTTCCATGGAATTACTGTGTTTCCAAAGTCCCATTTCCCTTCGTCCAGTCATAGAAGAAATGTAGCTGGGGTTTCAGTAAAGCTAAAATCTGAGCCAGTGTCCAGTTTCCTTTCCATGTTGGAGCTGGGTCCAGTCCAGCATCAGGCTAGCTTAGCTTGTGTTTCCCACTGCAGACCATTAGTGCATTGCGTGTGGGGTCCGTGTGGCTGTGGGCCACACAGATGAAAGCAAGGAAGCAGGAGCAAAAGAGCCCGAGTCATGAGCCAGGAGCAACAAGAGAGAGAATTCATTTGTTTAGGGGATTCTGTATTCCCAGATTTTTGTGGGCTTGCAGTGGCCACGCCCATTTTGGCTAACCATCTCTGTCCCCAGGTGTGATTGACCGGCAAGCACCTTCCCTATGTCACCCTGACTTTACTGGTCATGTGTCTATCTTCCCTGTGTGGTTCCCTGGGGAGTGCAAAGTGGCAGCTTCCTGGTGAAGCTGTCCAAATGACATGCTTATAATTTCTGGCCTTCCCTTTGTTCCTTTCCTATTATTAATAACTAGCTAGTTACAATGATATCAGTACCATTGTCAGAGAATGAAGGTCAGGTGACAGGTCCAGTTTGAGGGGAAAGAACACTATGAATCAGAAGTGACTTCACATCTGAGTGAAAATGCCCAGCAGGCAGTGGAGATGGGGGAGGGGAGCCCAGGAAAGAAGTTGACATTTGTGATGTAAATTTGTGTTTTATCAACCTAGGTGACAGTTGAAATCCTTAGGATGAATGGGTTTGGGGAAAGAGTGTGGAGAAAATTAAAGAGCTTGATGATTAGTTAATACCTATTTTTACTTATCTTTTGTTACCATAGGGGTGTGTAAGCTCAGCTCAGCAACAACTGGGGAATGTTTCTATATGGAAAGGCTTTCAAGAAGAATAAAATATTAATCTGTAGAGAAGAGATTTTTTTCTGTAAACACACTATTCATATAATAGCTTAAATATTTTAATAAACCTATGTTATAATAACTAACACATTTAAATACCAACTATGTACATGTGATAACTCACTTATCTTTGTATAAGCCTTATCACATAGGTAATAACTTATTTTTGTCAGTACCCTTTTACACAGAAGAAAACTGAGATACAGATATCTTGAGTAACTTCTCCAAGGTCATACCACTATTCAGTGGTATAGCTGGGACCTGAACCCATGTAGTCTGGTTCCAAATACACACTTTAATCACTCTGCTACACTGCCCTCATATAAAACCATCACTACACAACTACCTTTGACAGGCCTTTTCCAACATGGGCCTGCTTTGTTAGTAGTCACACGGTTATTCTGTTTCATGTGAAGAAAAGATGACTTTCTTGGGCTACTTACTGGCAAGTTGCTCAGTAGGGTATGGGAATTTCTCTTCATATTTTTAACAGACTTGCAGAGAGTGTCTGGTTTGATAGGAAATGTGTCAGTGCTTGGTGTTGTGCAGAAGCAAATGCATGCAGCACAGAAAAATGCTCTGCTGGTGTTGAAAGCATGCAGACCAGTTGTTAAGCTAAAAAGCAGTGCTGACTCTTTAAAATAATAAAATGTTTATATTATAAACAAGGCCAAACAATGAACACAAATTTAATGTATCCATGAATTAGGCCTCAAATGTCGGTGGTACTTTTAGTAAGGGTGGGATAATATACTTTACCAACACACCTATTTTCTATTGATTTAAGTAATTAGAAGACTGGAAAGTAGTTTCTTTCTCAATTTCTCAGATTTATTATACCTACGTATTTTCTCTTGGTGCGGACTTGGGTGACTGCACATCACAGTATCACATTCAGTCATTTAAAAAATAAGTCACTGAACAACCATTTCTGGTCAATGTCCCAAGCTATGCTTAGCCCATGGCAGAAAATGTGCAGGAGGATAGCACAAGGACATCCAAGGCAAGACTGTGAGTAAAATTTAGAAAACCAGAAGTGGAAATGGGGCAAAGTTGCAAAATGCCAAGAACCAGAGTTCACGATGGAGCCTGGGTACAAAAGCTGGTAAATACTAAATAGCATGAACACATGGGAACCAAACACAGGAGATGAATATAGGGCAGAAGCCAGGTGAATATTGTATCATTTCACAAACATGTTACCCAGCCTATGCTGGACATCTGAGATACAGAAATGACTACATTTTCCCGTCCTTGAGCGTTTATACTTTGATCTCTTTCTACTTGGAATTCTCATGGTCACCCAAGTGCTTCTAGGAAGTGACATGTTTCTTATTTGTAGGCTCTGTACTTTAAGAATTTGAGATAGTGATGTTCTTTGCTTTGTATTTTTGTTTAGTTTTGTTTTTCTCGTGTACGTTGTTTCCCCCTCCCCAGTTCTTTTAAAACTTTGCAAATCACTTTATTTCATTTCATGTAGGTTGTTTTTCAAGGTCAAATGATTTCAACTCATGAGCGGGATGAAGTCATAGCTATTGATGATATATCTTTCAGTTCAGGCTGCCTGCCTGCAAATGGTAAGAACTTTCTCTCATTTTGATCCTCACTGTGTATAATCAATTCAGTGCAATTTAAATTTTATAATGACTTTGATCCACTCTTTATTTTTGCCTGATGTTTTAGAGTGTCCTGTTTTCCATTGTGCTAACACACTGCACCACAAGGACTAGATCTATGCTAGAAGCGAATAAAGGCTGTTCTTTGCTGACTCTGATGCTATAAAGAGTTGAGGGGGATAATTTAGTTTCAGACTTGAAACCTTGTAGCAATGTTTACAGTGGCTAGTTAAATCTTACCAAGAGAACTCTGTGCCTTCTAGCAGAGAAAGGTGGCCCCCACAGACTTGAAACTGAGTTCTTGCAGAGTAGATGTGATCATTCCAGTCAGAGACAGAAATGGAGAGAGAGATCAGTTATTACCTATTTTCTATTTAAGAAACAACTACATTGATAAACCACATATATCAGATCTAAAAAAATGATCCATATTGGCCCCTTAATTATATAACTGAATAATATTCAATTCCCCATTCACATAATTATCAATAGAAAGATTCAATGTTAAAATTTAATTTGGTAATATAGTCTAGTAATCGAAGGAAGTGGTCTTCTTATGGAGAAAGTGAGTGTTCAGATAAGGTCACACAGTGTGTTCTTTAAAGGTGAGTGTGCAGGGAGTTTTGTATTTTGTTTTTCAAACATAGCATTGAGGGATTGTCTTAACTTTTGGGAAGAAAACATGAGCAGGTGGATGAATAATGGACAGAAATGCTAAAGCATGATGGGATAGGATTGATGTTTGGATGGAGTTGCATTTTGCAAATGGTAGAATGTGAATGATGCTAAAATTATATAACATTAGATTTCCAAATGAGGCTCTTCCGTCCAATTCAGGCACTATCATGATAGACTAAACCTAGGTAATCATCAGAATTACATGGAGGAGTGATTGGTTCTGGGCTTCGCTCCAGACCTGCTAGAGGGGAATCACTGAGGATGGGCCTGCGTTTTAGGTAATGTTCTCAGGACACTTTTTGTGCAGCCTGCCAATTGCAGGTTTCAGAACAGAACTGGTATTTGGGATGCCGTTCTCATGTTGGTTACTGAACTTGGCAATGACTGCCCTGGGTCAGAATACATCTGTCTAGAATCAGAGGTTTCAGTCTCATGCAGTCCTGGCGATGATGGCAGGGAGGGGAGCATCAGAGACACTAGGCAGAGCCAACGCAGCATGTCCTGTTTATCTCCATCAGAACATCCTACTCCAGTGGAGGGGAGAGTTAGAAATGTGGTTGGATGCAAGAAAACAGAGATGTTTTCTTAGGTGACTTAAGAAAATAGAGGAGATAGACAGTTGAGGCATAGTTTCTTCAATACATAGTTTCTAACACTGTTAATGCCAAAGAATAAGGGATTTCTTTGGTGTTCGCCTAATGTTTGTCATTTGATGGTCATCAAATGACTGTTGAAGCTCTGTACATCTCACAGGACAGGAAGAAGGAAGAAATGGGAAAAGGCAATGTTTTTGGCCATGCATTCTCTAGATGATTGTCACAGACTTCCAGAACTGTGAGAAAATACATTTCTGTTATTTAAGCCACCTGTTTGAACCATCCAGTATATGGTACTTTTTGTGGCAGCCAAAGTAAACTAATATGTCTACTAATCTAGATAAATAATATTTTATGCAATATATTAGAAATCAAAATTAATGAAAAAAATCAATGATGAACAAAATATAAAATTCTTGAATAAAGACAGGATTAGTATTATTGAATTTTTCAGGCTCTAGTTTGGATTGATCAGGCACTACTGGGACCACAAAATAAACCTTAAGAATTTTAAAACAACTGGAATCATAGAAAATATATCCTTTGACCAAAATAACATTAAGCTATAAATCTGAGAAATCCACAATTATTTGGAGACTAAATTATATACATCTAAATAAACCATACTTCAGAATAGCCAAGTATTTTACACTAAAATGAAAATATAACACTAAAATTTGTGTAATACAGCTAATACAGCACTTAGAAGGAAATTAGTAGGTATAAAGTTTTTATTAGGAAAGAAGAAAGATCCCAAACCCGTAATTTAACTATCCATCTAAAGCAAGAAGAAAAAGAACATGTTAAAGCTAAGTCACTTAATAATGGAATTAAAGATGGAAAAATAATAGAGAGAATTATTAAAACCAAAAGCTGATTCTCTGAAAAGGTAAATAAAATTGACAAAATTCTCGATCTGATTGATCAAGAAAAAAAGAGAGCAGACACACATTAACGATATCAGGAATGAAATAAGGGCCAACACTAAGGACTCTGCAGATATTAAAAAGATACTAAAAATGAAGGAATACCAATAAATGACTCTTTGCACATAAATTCAACAGTTTATATGAAATGGGCAAATTCTTTGAAAGTCGCAAACAACCAAAGCCGCCGAAGAAGAAATTCATAACCTGAATAATTCTATGTTTATTAAAGAAATAGGATTTCATAGTGAAAATCTTCTATTAAAGAGAACTGCAGAAATACATGCTTTTAGCAGAAAATTGTACCAAATATTTAGAGGAGAAATGGCACCTGTTTTACACTTTATATTCTAGAGAATAGGAGTGAAGAGAACATGTCTCACCTTATTCTGTAAGAGTGCCTCTACCCTAATCCCAAAACCAGACAAAAATATTATAAGAAAACTAAACACCAACATTTTTATCACAAAAAAAAATCTTTAACAAAATATTATCAAATGGATTCAAGTAATATATAAAAAAGATAATACATCACAATCATTGAGGAAATGGAAGGCTGGTTCAGTGTTTCTAAAACAATCACTGTACTTTACCATGCTGACAGACAAAAGAAAAAAAAAAAACACATAATGATCTCTATAGATGCAGAAAAGCATTTGACAGCATTCAACCTACTGACATGATTAAAACTGTCATCAAAGTACAAACATATAAAAAAATATATATATATAATTTTAATTGATTTCAGGGAGAGGAAGGGAAAGGGAGAGAGAGATAGAAACATCAATGATGAGTCATTTATCGGCTGCCTCCTGCACGCCCCCCACTGGGATTGAGCCCATAACCTGGGCATGTGCCTGACTGGGAATCGAACCAAGATCTCCTGGTTCATGGATTGATGCTCAACCACTGAGCCACGCCCGGCCGGGCAAAGTATGAACATCTTTAACAGGATAAAGCGCATGTACGAAAACTCAACAGCTAACATCGTACCTGACGACGAAAGGATGGATGCTTTACCCCTAAAATTGAGAACCAGGCAATGATGTCCATTCCTAACACTTCTTTACAGCAGGAAGTCCTAGCCAATGCAATAAGGCAAAACATATGAGTAAAGGCATGCAAGTGGAACAGAAGGAATAAATATATTCATATCTGCAAATAACGCAATTGTCCATAATAAAATACCATAGAATTTAGTTTTTAAAAAGCTTCTGGAACTAGTAAATGAGTTTATCAGAGTAGTAGGATTCAAGGTAGGTATGAAATCAATATTATATGTCTATAGCATGGCAATGAATAATTAGAAATCAGATTTAGAAAAATGGTGCTATTTGTAATACAATCAAAATAAATTCTTACATAGGAATCTAACAGAATATATGGTGGATCATTATTCTGAAGACTTCAAAACACTGATGATTGACATCAAAGAAGATTTGACTGAATAAGTGGAATGTTGATGAATTTCCAGATCATGGCTATACTTGTTAAAACTCATAGAAGTAAATACCAAAAAGTATGAATATTACCATATGTAACTTTAAAAAAAAAAATTTAAAACTGCAACTTGTTAAAGTTGAAAAAATTCTGATGGTGAGATTGTATTACATAAATTAAATGCATTATCTTTAGAGAAAAAAACATAACTTTATTGTTTTACTATATATATATTTCTCTTTACTATTGAAATCTCAATAACTTTCTTCATAAAAGTGTCAGATAGGGGTATTTTAATGGCCTTTGAACATTTTGCAAGTTGAGCAATAAAACTAAATTCTTTTTTAATATTAATGATCTTTTAGACTATTCCACACCTTCAAACAGTATCATTATAATCACTGTCCTTCTCCAGACATAAGCATTCACTGTACATTTATTGAATAAATAGTTCTTTGTAAACTTTGCCGAAGTAGCAAGTATTAGACAAAATGAATCAAGGCTTGTGACTGTGACTAAGAATGTGCTTAATCACTGCTTCTTGAGTAACATTAATTTGTGAATAAATGCTTATTATAATTTTGATAAAGATTGCATGCTGTGGCTCATACTCAGAATATTTTTAATATTCTGTGAATGTTTTCAGGTTAGTCTGCCAGGACTTTGCCTTGGTCAAATTTATAAATGCTTCAAATATACAAATTATCTCTTAATGGGGATCTGATTGATGCATACATTTTATCCAGTACAGTTAAACAACTAAGAACCCAGTTACTTTTTTCATCTTATTAACTTCTAGCTACACTGTACAATCTAATAACTGTTCACTGAAATCTATTACTAATTTCTAATTTAAGAAAATTGACAGAGATAGCCTAAAGCCCCTGAAGTCAAAAGTGGATGTTGCCTAAAATTTTTACTGCAGTAGCCTTGAGAATTGGACTTCCTTTTCTACCATCTGAGTCTGGCCAATTTCACATAACCTGCTGAAGCAGATACTATTTGAAGGATGGCAGGCTCTAGACATGAGGCCTCATTGGTATAGAGGCCTTGAAATGCTTGGCAAAACTTCATCCTGCTGATCATGTATCATTAATGGAGAATTTAAAAAGAACAACCCAAAATAATTTTCTACAATTAGATTGTGGTGCATGTTAGAATGAAACAGAAAGTGTGTAAGGAGGGAGAGAAAATGAATGTAAATGTAAATAATTGACATCTTTAAGTAGCTCTGAGCTCTGGGATAAAGGCACTATAATAAAAAGTGCTATCCAGGATATTAATTGAGTGACAACTTATACTTCCACGCCATTGTTTTTATGGTTGTAAATTCTAGTTTTGAAGCCCAAAGTAACAAAAGTGGTTGGCATCGGTGAAAGATATTTAATACCAATATATGCAAGCTACATTTTTAATTCCGTGCAATTTATACTTGACTCTTTTGCTATTTTTGTTTGCAGTACTTTTGTAGGTTGTTTTTGTCTTGTATAAACAGTGAAAAACTAGAGATAATATAGAAAATTTAATTAAACTATAGCCAGTATTTAATTATGCGGCTCTAAGGGGGAGAAGATTTGTAGCTGTTTTATGAATCTACAGAAATTACAGTTTTGTTTCATGGTAATTGTTATTGTGCTATGTTAACTTCATTCATTGCCCACACTCCCTTAATTGCACATGCAGTTTTATTTTCAGTGGATCGTTCATTCAGGAGGCTTTGCACATTAATCATTAGTAAGCTTCCATTATGAAATGCCAGATTATGGATGTTATTCACAAATCATTTTCCTAAACAATTCCTTCAATTTTATTTCAAATAAAAATACAACCAATTTATGTAGAGTATATGATATTTAAATTTTTCATCAAATTGCTCATAAGTTATTTATTTACCTATCCACTCATTAAATAAGTATACATTGAACACATATGTTTTACCAAGAATTTTTCTAGACACTGGGGAGACAGCAGCAACAAACAAACAAACAAACAAACAAAAACAGTAATCCCTGCATTCATGGAACTTACATTTTAGTCAGAAAGAGAAAGACACTAAGCAAATAAAACATATGTATATTTTATGTCAAATGGTGATATGTGCTATGGGAAACAATAAAACAGAAAACCAAGATAAGTGCTACAGGTGAGGGTGAGGTGAAGTTTTACAGTAGCCAGGCATGGTCATGTGGAGATCACAGTTTCTGCAAAAAAGCCAAGTTGTTGAGTGAGCAAACGACGTGCATGTTGGAATACACTGTAAATTCAGGGTTCCTGAGGGAAGAGGAAGCCTGGTTTATATGAGGATGATCATGGTAAAGACTTTTGTGTTTGCTTCATGAAGGCTGGAAAGTCACAGAAGGGTTTTGAGCAGAGGAGACATGATCTGACTCCCATATTGGGACAAAAGCAGCAACAAGGAGGCAAAATAGGGAGCTAGTCTCATAATCCAGAAAGACAGTAGTTCCCTTGAACAGTAGTAGTAGAGGTGGTAGGATATAGTCAGATCCTTGATGTGTCTTCTAGATAAAGCCAAGGTACACTGATGGATGGCATATTTCAGTGAGAGTCAGAGATGACTCCAAATTTCTTGCCTGAACTAGAGGGATGAAGTTGTCATGAACTACGGTGGGAAAGAATGTGGGAGGAGATGGTTTGGGCAGAGAAAATCAGAACTTTAGTTTTGGAAGTATTTCTCTTGAGATTCTTGTTAGTTAGCCAGGTGAAGGGGCCAAGTGAGAAGCAGGATATCTATATTGGAGTCCAGTAAAAGGTCTGGGCAGAAGATATAATTTTATGAGTCCCTGGTACTTGGGAAAACTTTTAAAGGTGTGAGCCTAGGTGATGTTATTAAGATCATGACTGTAGAGGAGAGATCAAGGACTGAGCTCTGGGAGACTCTAATGTTACTTTGTGTAGCCTTGAAGAGATCAGGGAAAACCAGCAAAGGAGACTGAGAATGAACAGCTAGTAATTTAAGAGGAAAACCAGGAGAAAATTATGTACTAGAATCTAGGAAAGAAGGGGGGTGATCAACTAGGTCCAAGACTACTGATAAGCCAGGTATGTTGGGGGGGTGGATTAAATACTAGATTTAGCAATACAGAGGTCAAACTTTATATATGCAGTTCCAGCCCAGCCGGCATGGCTCAGTGGTTGAGCATCAACCTATGATCCAGGAAATCATAGTTTGATTCCCAGTCAGGCCACATGCCCAGGTTGCGGGCTCGATCCCCAGTAGGGGACATGCAAGAGGAAGCCGATCAATGCTTCTCTCATCATTGATGTTTCTATCTCTCTCTTCCTCTCTCTGAAATCAATAAAGATATTTTATATATATATGTGTGTGTGTATATATACACACACACATATATATACACACATATATATATGTGTGTATATATATATACATATATATATATATACACATGCACATATATATATGCAGTTCCAGTGGAGTAGTAGGGTAAAAAAAGAAGGAATAAAGTTCTGATACATGCTACAACATGAACGAACCTTGAAAACATTATGCTAAACGAAAGAAGTCAAACACAAAAGGCCACATATTGTATGATTCCATTTGTGTGGAATGAGCTGAGCAAATCCATGTAGACAGAAAGCAGATTAGTGATTGCTAGAGGCATGTGGGATGAGGGAGGAGAGAATGGGGGTGACTGTCAGTGGTTAGGGGTTTTATTTTGGTATGATGAAAGTGTTTTGGAATTAGCTACTGATGCTGATTATAGAACATTGTGAATGTACTAAAAGTCATTGAACCATATACTTACAAATGATTAAAATGAATTTAATGTTATACGACTCTTACCTCAATAAATAGATTTTTGACAAAAACCTTATTGGAACAGGTTCAAGAGAAAATGGGATGGGGGAGAATTGGTGTGGGGTCAGTGAGAATATGAAAAACAGAAAAGTTAGTTGTAGGGGGTTGTAGGGTAAGGAGTTTTCCTTAAGATGGGTGAAATTTTGGCCACCTTGTGTACTGAAGCTTTTTCCATGAGAACATGCTGGTGTATAGAGGAGGAAGAAATTGCTGGAACACTTTCTTAGGCAAGAGGAGATGCATTTCTTATATAAGTGAAAGGAGTGGGCTTAGAGTGGGGCATGGCTAGTTGCCCCACACACAGTACAGGAGGAAAGGCATGTGGACAGCTGTGTAGGGAGATTGGTGGCAGGGTTTGTGAAGTTTTTTTCTGATTTTTCCTATGAAATGTGAAGCAAGATGACTAGCTCAGAATGACGAGGTGGCATGAAGGATGATTAGCTGAAAGGAAGAAGGAGGTGGGGATTTAAGGAGGGCATAAAGGGCTTTGAGTAGTGTCTAGGAGCAGAGGGAGACGAAAGAATGCAGAAAATGTAGTATGGGGTTGCACGATGCAATGAAGTGAGTAGTCATGAACACGCCATTTTCATCATCATGATCGCAGGCTCCTCTTCACTCAGGTTCTGCTGCACAGATGCAGGATGGAGTAGGTGGTGGAATTTGTGTCAATCTGGGCCTATGCATAGTGATGCTATCAGCTAGGAATGCCTGGGGCACTCACCTAGGCCCTTACTACTTATGGCAGCCCCCACAGACACTTCCCTTCCTGGAGCCAAAGTTGTGGCTGGACCAGCTCTTGTGACGGTTCTTATTATGATTTCAAGATGCACGTCAGCAACAACCATCAAGGAAATTTGAAATAACAAGGTTCATTACACACAGGTCCTGGAGGGTCCCCTGAGGCCACCCATTTAGGTCATGGTGGGAGAGAGAAAGAGAGAGAGGGCCAGGGTTTCTGCCTTTATTGGAATCAAAGGTGGGGGACCTAGGGCTTTGTGGGTTCACTCTTTACTGGTGAATTTATAAAATAACAGCAGGGAAGGGAAAAGCAGGGTCATTGAAACAGTCAGCTATCTAGATCAACCAAGTCTTTCTTAAAGGGGAACTTCATGGGTTAGGGCTGTGTGGTTCTTTATCCAGTTGTGTAGCTGGCCACGCATTTATTCGAGAGGGATGTTTTTGAAATGGGTGCCTCAGTAATCAAAAACTTAATGTTAGGCACTTACATGACAATCAGAATAGCTAACTATCCAGCACTTGCACTGTGTGGAGAGTTGTCCTTTCCAGTTTTTGCCCCAAGAGTATGGGGAAGCATAAGAAGAGCTAAGGATGACTGGCTGTCTAATATATGTAAGAAAGGAAAAGAGAACATGAGGAAGGCTGAAGGGAATTAATAAGATTGTAGGACCATTAGCTGGTACAAAATCATTGCAGTTTAGATACTAAAAGGAGTGAACTGGAACAATGGGGCTGAAAGTTTCGGAGTGGGCCACTCATAATTGAGATCAAGGAAGTGTTATTAGTAATGATAATACTCAGAGGAATGATGACAGAGGTTGTTCTTCATCAATGTTCTTCACGATCATCAATAAGAAATCAAGAAATTAAGAAGCAAGGTGAAAATGAATATTGAAATGACAAAGAATGACAGCGAGGCAAGGGCAAAAATGATCAAGAAGTGAGGGGCAGTGCACCACTGTCTGTAGATGACTGAAACAGCTCGCACAGACTGCGATACTCTTTGATGTCAAGAGATTCAAAGCTTGGGTATTTAGGAAAGTGAGAGTGAGAATTATCTGGAAGTGGCTACTGGTGCAGGAAGGACACCTATCCACTTTTAAGTTCTGTGTTGGGAGGGCTGTGGGAGGAAAACAGGCACCATTTGAGAGGGCTGCAGGGAAAATAGTTCCAGGGCAGATCCAGGTTCCAGTTGAAGAGGATACCATATGTTACATCGGGTGCATGTACTATTATCCTTTTGATAATAGGCTCTTAGTTTTTCTGTTAGGGTAGGTTACTTGTGTGGAGATAAAAGATTTGATTCTGGCATTCACCACAGAGATCTGATTAAAATCCAGAAGGATTGGCTTGGCTTGTATATTCCCTCTCTCAGTTTCTCTCTCTCTGTAAGGGGTTTACCTAAAAGGTGATGCTGCGCTAAAGAGGAGTTGGATGGAGAGTGCTTTGTAGAACACGTGTTGATGTTTCAAGAAATGCATAAGGTTCCTTAGTTGCACCTGCATCTCACTCTTGCCAATCTTTAAATTTAACAGATGAAACTTTACCATGTCAAGAAGCATTGGGTACCAAGCAGGAACTATGCCATCCAGATACAAGTCTCTGCAGATTTGACTCTACAGATGGATTAAGGTGTAAGTGATAAGTTGACATGCCCAGATTGCTGGTGTGTGGTCCATTCATAAGACTCAGATCACTAATAGGAATATCAGATACTCACTTGCCATTTGTTGACATCTATGGAGTGTTATTAGGGTTTTAGCTGAAATGTTACTGGAAGACTGATTTATTCAACAAGTGAAAGATACTAAATATGTCAATTTGAGGTGATGTTGTTTTGTAAAATAGTTCCATTAAATACCATCTTGGAATTATACTCAATGATTCTTCTTTAAAATCTCAGTGTGATTATGAATAGTCAATGATATAAACTAACTTTTTTTCATAGAGTAGCTAAGGTCAGATATATGCTATTTGAAAAATCAAAATCAAAGCAGTTGTCCAAGGAAAGATAAAAACATCATTTTTTTATGGCAATGGTTCTCATTTTGAAGGATCACGTCTGAGTCAGCTGAAGAACTTGAAAAATAGACTTGCAGGTCCACTCTAAGGTTTACTGATCCAGAATTTCCAGACACCAATTTGTGTGGGTGTGTGTTTAAGCCCTACTTCAACACCGGCCATGGTAGTAGGCACTCTCGCAGACTGTGGGAGCCCACCCAGCTCTTTCTCTCCTCTCTAGTGTGTCAGCCCTGTGGATTTGACTTCGACACGTGTGACTGGGCATCAGAAGCACCTGCTGGGCACATTTCCTGGATGCGCACAAATGCCAGAGGAGTTCCTGCGTTAGAACCAGCACCTCAGCAGGATCAAAGTAGTGATGATGAAGGTAGGAAATAGAAAATAGTATCTTTTATGTACTATTTTTAGAATTGTACTTTATTGTGACTAGTGTGCAGACAATTTGATCATGGTTCTTGGTGAACATACTGAGTATATTTTATTGAAACTATATTATGCCATAGATATTGAAAAAAATCATTTCCAACAGTGTAAAGGAAGAATTACATTAGGCTAATTAACTATTTTAATTTTGATAATTTTATTATTTTTTTTATCACCAGGAGATAATAGATTTTGTATGAACAACAAAACAATGTTTTATCAAGTCTATTAGCTCTCCTTATCACTGCAATATTGTTAAAAAGTTTCTTCCTCTTATTCTAACACTAAATTTGCTATTTCTGTGTATTTTTCTCTTTTTTAGGAGGGGTATTTTTTATGATTTAAAAAATTTATAATTTAAAATTTTGTTCCAGCAGAAACTAGTCTACTTCCATGTAGAATTTACTGTTTCTACAGTTTCGCTTTTTCCAGAGTATCATATAGTTGGAGTCATATAGTATATAGCCTTTTCAGATTGGCTCCTGATAATATGTGCTTTAGTTTTCTCCACGTCTTCCAATGGGCTTGATAGCTCATGTCTTTTTAATGCTGAGTAATATTCCAATGTCTGGATGTTCCACAGTTTATCCATTCACCTACTGAGGACATCTTGGTTGCTTTCAAGTTTAGCAGCTATGAATAAAGCTGCTCTGTACATCCATGTGCAGGTTTTTATGTGGATCTAAGTTTTCAGCTCCTTTGAATAATACCATGGAGCATGACTGCTGAATCATATGGTAAAAGCATGTTTAGTTTTGTAAAAGACGACCAAGCTGTCTTCAAAAGTGTCTGTACATACTGTGCTCCCACCAGAAATGAGTGAAATTTCTGTTGCTCCGCATCCTCTCCAGAATTGGGTGTTCTGGATTTTGGCCATTTTAAGAGGTGTGCAATGAAATCCTTATTGTTTAATTTTCATTCCCCTGATGACATATTGTATGGAGCATTTTCTCATATGCATATTTGTCATCTGTATATCTTCTAAGGTTAGATGTCTGTTAAGATCTTTGGTTGTTAGTCCTTTAATTTTTTCCCACTGGCTGAGAAGCTTTGATTTATACATATTATATTTTTATGGCTATTTAAAATTTTTGACATATATCTTCAATATTAAATCTCTTTGACAAAACCTAAAGGGTTTCAGTATATTTGTCCCTTTCTGGAACAGAAGGAATTTGTCATAATTCAGTTACCATTTAACTCTCCCCTATTTTATTTTATTTTATTTTATTTTAATTTAATTTAATTTTTTAATTTTATTTTATATTATTTCTTTCCCATCACTATTTATCCCTCCTCTCCCCCCTTCCATCTCCACTCACTCCCTTTTTAGTTCTTGAACTATATTTTAATATTTTCAAAAATATTTTTAAGTAAATATCTTTTGAATCTATTATATTTTCAACTATTACAATAATATATTTAATCACTTTCTTTACTCACCATTGGTTCTTTTATCTTATCCTCTCCCTTTTAGTTTATTTTCCTTCTTACAAAGGTTCACTTTTTAAATTAATTGTTTTTTTATTTATATAAGATTTGTGGTGGTGAACTTGCTTAGTGTTTATAAACTTCAAACATTTTCAAATTGGCCTCACACCGAAATAATAAGCCATGTGGTGTCACAATTTTAGAATGAAAGTCTGTTTATTTCATTCTCAGCTACACGGCGACAGTCCTTTCTCCGGTACCTGCTGCAGGTTTGCTCTTTCTCAATCCTTCCTCCACAATTCCCCGAGGTTTTTCGTTGCACCCTCTTCCTGGTTCAGTGACTTTGTTGTAGCATTGCTTAGCTCCCCACTACCTCACCCGAGTAATAATACTGGTTTAGGGTTTCATAGTCCATGGCAAGGCTTGGAGTTTGCACGTCCTGTCTTACGGCCCGAGGCAGTGACGGTAAGTGTGCTCCCCACCTAAGTTTATGAGCAGGCTCCGGGCCCTAGTCTTTGGCTTCACTGAGAGAGCTTGACTCCTCTCCTTCAGCTTTTGCAAAATTCAAGTTAGTCTAAATTCAAGCGGCTGCAGCCTGCTTTTTACCCTCAAGCCCCAGTTCTGTGGTTTCAGCCCTGCTCATCACTTGGCATATTTGTTCTTTCCTTACTGTTGAGGTGGCAGGTGATTGGTCTTTCCTTTCGTAAAAATGTGTTTTCTATTTATCATTTGCTTGTGTATAGATCAGAGGCAACGTATTAACTTACTGTGCTATTTTGATTAAAGTCTAACTAACATTTCTAGTAAATAGGAGTTTCATTTAATTTAAACTCATAGTTTTTAGAAGCTGCAGGAATATTTAATAACTTATAAAAATAATTTGAAAAGCATTACTTTTGAAAATTGAAATTATGAAATTATAGAAATATCTTTGTATCTCCCTATTGTCTATATTATTGAGTTAAAGAACAACCTAAATTGGTTTTAAGAATCAGATGCTATAACGACTGAGCCAAACTCGCTAGGGCTATATCAGTAGGTTTTTTATAAGACTATTGCGTGTTCATATTGGGTGCATATCAAACTTTTATTTCAGAAATTAAGGGCACATTTTGATGCATTTTAGGAAGCATATGTGGAAACAAAAACCTATTATTTGTAGCTGTAATCATTCCATACCATCATATCCTTTTAACTAAAATATTTCTGATTCAAGTCTGATTTTGAAAGCTCTAGAAATACAATAATTTTATTTAAACAGAAAGCAGCTATTTTTTCTAAATTGCTTCATTATCTTTTATTTTTCAGGTTACTACATGTGGGTAGGGGCTAACCATGCTTCTACTCTTAGCCTTTTAGACAGCAGGGCTTATCTAAACAGCTCTGTGTGTTACTGCTGGGGCAAGAGCTGCCATCTTCAATTTCATTACACTATGGAAAACAGTGTTCTGAGAGTTGGTCTATATAACAATAAGGTAAGAAGAAACTTGCATTTATTTCAAACCCATTGAATAAATGAAATTTCTATTCTTGGCAACTTCTGTTTCTACTTCTCAGCTGTATAGGCTTTAGGTATTATTTAATATGATTTTATTTAGTATGCCTTTAAAATGAAATATTAAGCAGGTGTTTTAGGAAATACTCTCATGTACAAAAGCCAGTTGAGATAATTTGCACAATACATTTCATAAAACTGTTAAAATTCATATTAAAGAAACTATAGGTCTAATAAAATAAGTTATTTGGGAATCTTTTGTTATCTCTGTATTGAAGCTCTATGATCTGTTTTGGATTTTAGATCTATATGCCATTAAAGCTATCAATATGATGGAAGCAAATTACATGTTCTGGTACCAGTAGATAGAATTTTAAAGGCTGGCAATTGCTGATTAAATACAGACAAATAAGTCATTTGAATGAAAAAAAAAAAAAAAAAGGCATTCTAGGCAGAGTGAATGTTGTGGTGGTAATGCTAGTGAGGAAAAACAAAAATCTAAGACTTTATTTTTTAACCTAAACTTAACTGAAAACCACTCTCTACAAGTGGGAAAATACCCGAGACACTGCAAATTTCTATTGTGAGGAACAATTTACTTATAAATAGGAACAAAGAAATCATAAGGATAAACAGCAATCATTCTAGAAATGGGGGATATTTGAAAATAATTGCAGGAATTCTGAGATTGGAAAAATGAAGACAGGAAAAGCATCCAAATTTGTTTCCTTGGGCTCAGGATGTTTTGGGTAAATCCAGTTGAAAGTTGCAAATGACATCAGCTAGATTCATTTTTTAAAAAAAGTTTATCACCTGCACTTATCAAGTGCCACTAACCATCTGTCAGTAGCATTTTCTTCTGCGGTTTGAAGTACTATCATAATTAATCCTCACGTATCAGAATGCTTATTAGCAAGATATTGGAGAATTCTAGAGGAATTCTTTTTATTTCTAGTTCTGTTACATCACCTCCCCCTTTCCCTTTTGTATCATTTTCATCATGTCCAGTCTTCTTTCTTCTTGTTTTGTTTTCCAAGACATTCACAGAGTTCCAAAGCAAAGAGTTGGATGAGTAGTCTCATTAGATGGCCTAACAAGTTTCCCTTTGTCATGAAAATGAGACACAATTTCTAGTGTTCTGTAACTCTGTTATGTATTTGTAGTAGCATATATTTTGCAGTCGTATTTGGCAGCCTAATGCCCTGGAATCTATTTGATATATTTCATTCAATTTGGTTAGGTGTGGGGTAGGTGGAGGGGCAAAAACATCTCCCTGCCCTTTCTGTAGTTCTCCAAACTTTCCAGAGACATGGGGAAAATTTTACAGAACAAACCAACCAAGGTTAAACTTACGTTGTGGCATTTATGTGTCAGCATCTTTCAGTTATTTTTACCTGTACCATGCAAACCAAGCCCAGGGAGCCTCCATTCAATTTGCAACCTTCTATAATTTCCAATTTCCTTCTTCAAAGAAGAAATTCTAGAATAATTTTGTTATGTTTATATTATAGTTCAAGATGCTTTAAAAATATATGGTTCCATGATAGTGCTTTTATATGGCAAGTAATTAACATTCAATAAATATTGAATGAGTTATCCTATATTTAAGTAGAAATTTGTACCATATATCTTCTAATCCTGGGGATTATTTTCATCTGCCCTGAACACCACTGATGGACTTTTAAAGTTTCAATATATGCAGAATGGAGTTCTGAATGACTCAAAATGAGCGATATCATTCCTCTGGTGGCTTTGGGATGCTACAAGAAAATAGTGGAACAAATTGGCTTCAGATACCACTTCATATAATAAGAACACAGTTAACAATGTTCCACTTTCCTGCATTATAACAAAAGAAGTTAATCATGGAGAACTGATCTGGTGTATTAATCAGAGCCAAAGAACTGTACATCATAGAGAGTATTATATTGACTGATGTTAGATTCGTTAGTTTACCCAGTATTTGGCAAGACAGTGGTCTATCTTTTCCGACACTCAATTTGCTATTTTTTATACATGTAACATGTTGGTCATCAATGAAAATCTGCATAAAGTACATTTAGGTCACAAGTTAATGTTTCAGCACACACTTAAGAATGTCTCAAAATCTGTCATTTACAAAATTAGCTCTTGATGGAAATTATCATTTACATCTTCCATGAATACAGTAGAGGAAAAACCCTTAAGATATGTGCAGCTAAATCAACAAATATCTAGTAAGAATGCTGCGTCAGTTTCTTTAGATTCAGAGGATATGGAACTTGAGAAATAAAAAACAGGTGAGAGGCAAGTTGTTAAATAAAAAGTTGACCCAGAGTCAGCTTATGTGTGTAACAGTTCCGCTGTGTGTCCTCTAAGTATTCTTGGGGCGAGGTCTCTGTTCATCATCTTTAAGGCAGTAATCATAGCAACAGCCTATATCCTGAGGAGAGTTTCCTTGTCAGTGAGCCAAGGATAGTGCCCAGCTTGTGGCGCTTCTACATATTTTCTAAATTCCCACTGGCAAACAGGGAGGAAACAGTTGGGGCAGGAGAGACAATACCTTAGAAAGTATCTTTCTTGTATGATACCATACATAAGGTTTTCTTGAGGGAAGGTCTTTACCACAGTACATGATTCTATCCCCACATGCAATAAAAAGTAGTTAAAAATAAAATAATAAAATAAAATAATAAAATAAAATAAAACCTTGAGATTGGTATGTTTGATTTTCTTCACTAGAATAGGGGAAGGATAAGCTGAGATCACAGAGATCTAGTAATAAATATTTTCTTGAAAGGTAAAATGGCATTATCGATGCTGATCTGGGGGAATAAGGAGACATTTTTAAAATTTTTATTTATTGATTAAGATAATAAAAAATTAGAACATCTTTTGAAAGGTTTTTCTGAGCTGAGGGTCTCTTTCACATTGACACCTGTTGAAAGTAACTAGATAAGAACCTGTGAGGACAGAAATAAGATAAAAGCTGATTTTGTTTAGTTGGGGTAATTATTTTTCTTTTTCATTGTTGTGTCGTGAGACAGGAAAATGTGGTAATAAAATATGGATTTTTTTACACATATCATTAACTTAGTGTTTGAAACGTCATTTAAGTTTAGAAAGAGTTCTGCTCACTTTTCAAAAAAATGTAAATGCATCCCTCCAGTAGAACAGGGGCATCAATTAGTCACTGAGAAAAAAGAGCATGATTGCTCTCATTTATTCTCATAAAATGAAAGTGAGGGGAGGTGATGAATGCAACTTGCCAACCAGTGTCACTAAAAGCATCCGTAGAGGACACGAGTGTCTTGATGCTGAATAACAGAAGTTGCCGAGGCAATAATTGGGAAAAAAATGTTGTGTCTCACCTTTTTATAACTTCAATTCACTCTGATTGATCTGGGAGCTACCAGCTGAAAGCACGTCTACCATGTATGTTTCACTGTTTCGTGGGAGTCTTAAGAGTTGATATACGTAAGTAATGAAATGAAGTACATTTTAGTAGGTTTAGGCTATTTCTGAAATATATAAGACTTGGAAATTGGAGTAGACATCAGAGGGTAAAGGAGTAAGCTGAAAATAGATTTGCTTTTACTTTAAAAATTGTGGGTATGAATTAAATAAGTGAAGCCAAGTAAGAAGATAAATGCTTACAAGAGTTTGAAAAAGCATGAGAGTTATGTGTCATTACAACTAGATATCTGTCGTCTTCCAGTGTCGTTGCCTATCTCACAGTAAAAGGAGGGCACAGAGACAGTCTCAAAGCTCAACCCAAGACATAATTATGCCACTGTTTGCATTTTCGCTATGTTGATATATGAAAAATTAATGCACCCTGTAGGTGAATATAGGGTGTCCCAAAAAATGTATACTCACACTTTGAATAATTACAAAGGCAGGGTTTATTAAAATACATTTCATTTTCAAAGTTGAGCTAGCAGCTGTTAAAGTGTGTATACATATTTTGGGGACACCCTTTATGATGAACAATCTGGTCTACCTTAATTATGAAAATGTCAAATTAATTTGACTGATAAAATCCCAAGAAAAATAGGATTACTTCAGAGCATAAACACATAGTCATGAATTATAAAGCCAATACCAGGGGCAAAATTTTGGAATACATTATAGACTTTTATTGATTGAGTGTTTTACCTCATAATGTATACTAACATAATTTTGCATACACTTTTCAACCTGTGAAATGATCATTATACAGATGCATGATATAACTTGTAGTACGTTCTATAGGTTTGGACAAATGATAATGACATATATGCACCATCATATTGTCGTACAGTGTATTTTCACTGCCCTAAACATCTTCGCTGTTCCACTTACTCATGTCCCCTCATTTCCTTATTTTCCACTAAAAAATGTTATACATCTTTTCCACCAGTACTTTAGATTTCTTAGCACTTAATATCATACAGGTAGGGTTAAACTCTATTAAAACATAATTAAGAGAGTATGTATGTAAATATGAGAGTAGAATTTGAGGAATGAGCAATGTCTTTTTCTTCTAATCATAGGAAGAAGAAATATTTTGGACATACAACACATCAACTCACAAAAAATGGGTGAAAACAGATGTGTTAATACCAGAAGGGCTGAAGACATTTAAGGTATAAAAGGGAAAAACAAGTATTTTTTTTTTTTTTTATCATGTGTTATTATTAGCTGTGCAGTAGTGAATGTACCACCCATTGCTAAATTTAAATTAGGGATGTATGTTTGGGGAGAGTGATTACCTACTGCTTTTCATTCTACCTAGGCCTTCTCAGGGCAAATTTCTCCCATGGGAAGGACCCAGAGTGGGACTACTTCTGTTTAAAGCTTCCTCATGCCCATGAGCATCCCCAACACCATGCATTACAAGTAGGGAAGCAAATTCCATTATGAAGCAGATAAATAATAGGCTGGTATCGAAATGCAGTAATTCACATCTTTATAACACATGAATAACTCTACCTATACAAAGATATATCTTAAATATATATATGCTCAATGGGAAGGCTGTCTCTTAAAAAATTTACTTGGCATTTTGTTGAGATTGTGCAGAAGAATACACTTGATAATATTTTCTTAAATTTTCATATGAAATGTTTGCCTGACATTTCTTTCTTTTCTAATATTATGGCAATATCACAAAATATAGTAAGTTAGTGGGATAACATTTAAATATCTGGTATTACTATTAATCCTCATTTGAGGATATTTTTTCCATTGCTTTTCAGAGAGAGTGGAAGGAAGGGGGAGAGAGAAAAAGACAGAGACACACACACACACACACACACACACACAGATATCCATGTGAGAGAGACACATCAATCGGTTGCCTCCTGCACCCACCCCAACCAGGGGTTGAGGATTGAGCCTGAAACTTAGGTACATGCCCTAGGCCGGAATCAAACCCAGGACCCTTCAGTCTCTGGGCAGATGCTCTAACCACTAAGCCAACCCAGCAAGGGCTAAATAACTGGTATTATTAATTGCTACTTAGAATTTTATTTTTAAAGTGCAGTACTTTATTTAAAATCCCATTCCTTTTGTGTTGTATGTAGGGTTTATAAACATATTAATACTGGAGCGTCAGTATATGTGTGGCTTATGAAATCAGTTTCACTCCTTATGTTAATGCTATATTTATACATGTTTCTAGGTGTTAAAAGAGAATTCATATGATAGTAACCTGTAATCATGAGATTTTTAGGATCCTCTTTACTGCTGAAGTTGGAATTTCTGAACCATAGCATTTTTGTAGCAATCTCAGTAAAGTTGGGGTGCATATCATAGCCTACTGAGTTAACATTTTGATACTATTTTAACTTTTCTAAGCTGGTATCTGTCTTTATAACTTCTAAAATGAGTATTAAATAATGGGAGTTTCATTCTTTTAACATAGATTGAATATTAACTTTTTTTTATTTAACTCAAAGATAAAACAAAGTAAGACATAAAGAAAATAATTTGGAAGTTATTCTAGGTTTCCAAGTGCATGTTAAATATAAGTAGATTTTCAATAGTGGCAGCTTTTTAAGACTTAAGTTTAAAAATTTAAATTTTGAGACTTAAGTGTAAATTTTTCAGTATTGGAACTTCAAACTGATATTTATGCATGATCTCTTACTGCTATGAAAATACATAGCTTTAGATCCAATAATTTTTATAAATTTTTAGTATGATACTCATTATGGGGAAAATGTACAGTAGCATACAAAGTTTCCTTAATATTAGGTGTGATTTAAATTTAATATTATTTTATAGACTAAATCATTAAATATATTTGTAAACTGGACTTGACCTTAAGTAATTATTAACACACAAATAATATTAGTTCTTTATGTTTCTGCAAAGAAGAAAATTAATTCAAAAATTTTAAGAAGGAAAAGACAAAAGAAATCAGCTTTTATTCCTGGTATCTTATTTATATGTTAACATCTAGTTCAGCACTGTTCAATAGAACTTTCTGTGGTAAAAAAAAAAATTTTCTATATCTGCACTTCCCAATATGGTAGCCACAAACTATGTCTGGCTAATTGAACACTTGAAATGGGGCTAGGACCACTGAGGGACTGAATTTTAATTAATTTAAATAGAAATATCCCAAAGTAGGTAGTGGCTACCGTATTAGACAGCAGATAATTAGTTATTTGCTATACAGTCAACTCTTTCTATCTCTCCTTCACTCTTGGTGTTAACTAACCATTACTCTTGGTAGAACCTTAAGGGATATTAATACTTTGACATTACTCTGGCCAGTGTGGCTCAGTTGGCTGGAGCGTCATCCTATACACCAACAAGGTGGTAGGTTCGATTCCTGGTCAGGGCACATACCTAGGTCGCAGATTTGATCCTCCGTTGGGACACGTGTGGGAGGCAACCGATTGATGTTTCTCTCTCTCTCTTCCTCTCTCTAAAATCAATTCAAAAAACAGTCATGATCAATTCCTATATAAAGTACTTTGACATCTTACACTGGACTTACATATGGTTGTTTCACTTGCTAGTATTGTATGCCTTCAGAAAAAAGTGATTTGATTGGAGAAAATGAGATTTATTTCCTTTAATTTACATTTGTTTGATTATTAAAGATATTCTTCGATAAAAATTAATGGATTTTTATATTCTTTAAATTTCCTGTTCTTCTGTTGCATCCCTTACTATTTGGTGACATTTCTCTTCATGCATTCCAATATTTCTTTCAGTGGTTAAAAAAACATAGATGCATAGCTCTTGCTGTGTACATAGTGACAATACTTACTCTTTTCCTTGAATATTAAAGAAACAGAGCTGCAAACATGATGACTAAGTAAAAAGTTTGCAGTCAGGGACATTTGTCTGATCATAAACATGGGTGGTTTCTCAGAAGCCTCAGTGGATCTAATGTGTCTGTCAATCTTGTGTGTGTGAGTTAAGCTTCTCAAATAAGAACTTTACTGTCAATTTTATTTGCCTGCTCTTTAAAAGGGCATTTTCTTAATGATTTAATCTCTATTATTATAATTAGTCTTTTTAAGAGATTATGAACTCATAAATTTTTCATTTTTCCCACTAAAGATTATTTTTGAAGGGGCTCTTATGGACCAGAAAAGTTTTATTGGGCTGGATCAGCTCTGGGTCTACGCGTGCGCACAGGCCCCATCCAGAAAGCTTTGCTCTGCAGATGAATTCACTTGTGCCAGTGGCCAGTGCATTGCCCAGGAATCAGTCTGTGACTCTCGGGAAGACTGCTCTGATAAGAGTGATGAAGACCCAGTGACTTGCTGTAAGTGAATCAATAGTTTACTTGTTAACATGCTCAAAATCATGACTGTGGTTGGATTTAAAATACTAATCTTTGTTTTAAGTGAGGTAAAGCTAATATGAAATAAGATGACTGTACATGCTCATTCTGAAGCTATCAGCACTGTTCCTTGTGGGGGTCTTTATGCTAATTTAATGTTTTGGTGGTTATTGCTAGCACTGCAAAATCTCTCTGTTCAACACATGGATAGTTGTGATTTGTGGTTAGTGGTGTGTGTGTGTGTTTTCATTAAAGAGAGAAATGGGTGGGAGAGGGAACTTCTTTCTAGTTTTCCCCTTGGAAACATGTATTATAGGTTGCTAACTTTTACAAATGTAGGACTTTTCCCATTCTGACCAATTATGTAGGAAGCTGTGGGGAGGGTGTAAGAGGAGAAGGGCTGCCATGGCCTTCCAGGCAGCCATAAGGTGTGTAGAAATCATGTCAGCCACAGATGGTATGTATGTCTAGGCAAAAAAGGCCCAACACCTTTCTTTCAGGCATTTTACACATGATGGTTCTCCTATGATGTAACTTAGCAACTAAGATACTGTGTCTCTGTAGAAACAATGTGTTCCAACTAAATGAATCCAATTCCTATATCTCAAACAAACGGGTTTTAAAAAGCTATTAAAATTTGACATTTATTTTGATGCAGTGTTTTATTTTAGTGAGGTATTTTGTTGAGCAATAGAAAAACACTGCAACAAGGTAAATACTGCCTTTTTCCTAAGAAGCTCTTTGTACAATATGCTTCTGCTGGGTAAGGATTTTATTAAGAACCATGAAGAAAGGTGCAGGAAATGGGCTAGGGAAGCGAGGAAGAAATACTCTGCTTATTTATCAGCAGGAATTAATTTCTCAGACACTAGCTTTTAAACGCTAGTTTTAAACAAAATAATCCACTTACCAATATGATTGCAGTGTAATTTTTGGGTGGCTCTCTTTTTTTCATTCCAAAATAAATAAATAATAACCGATGTCAGAACAATTCATTTTCTCTAAAGCGTCAAATTCCTTTCTGTGCTTTATTTCAAGTTTTTGCAATTTGACTTATTTCTTTTGCATAAGTTCACCTTTCTAATGGTTTGCATTATTATAAATTTCAGTAACTGAAAATAAACATATTCCCTGACTTTTCAATTGTATATTTCGAAGCTTTGCATCTTCTCTCCCTTTTATTTTCCCCTATGCTCTTCTTTTAATTGATTTTTCTTATTCCAGTTCCACCTGGGATATAAGTAGATATTTTAACATTTGATTTGGGATATCTTTCCCCATTTCTCTTCCTATATTGAGGTTTTTTAAATTACACATCTGGCATTTTTCCAGTAGAGAATTTTTTTGATATCATTCTGCTATGTCCTTGGTATGAATGCAGGGACAGGTGTCTGTGTTCATCATCAAATAGTGTTACTTCTTAGCCTAAGTTTCCCAAATAATGTTACCTCATTTCACCAAAGAAAGCCTGGCATGTTTGCTTGATTGAGATAACTTGATATAAGGGGTAGGATATAAAAATTTAGGCATATTATATATTATAAAATATTTACATATTTTGATGCATATATCCATATATTTTGATGTAAACATGAATATTTCATGTAAATATTTGTACAATAAATTTTCTTCTGAGGAAATTATATAGCAATTGAATTATTAGAAGTGATATCTTACACTATTTTCTGCACTATTTAATATATTTGTGCATATATACACATGCATATATGTATCATTGCATAGCAAGGCTGGCTTCTCTTTGAAATGTAAAGCCACTTTGACACATTTTACATATACTTTTATGTTTGTATTTCATCAGTTTGAATTTGAAATACACAGTGTTCTTAAAATAGAACATCCAAATTCATGAAGCACAAGAATCATGCCTTTCTATCTTCTTTTTATCCCTCTTTTGTCCTAAGAATGAATCTTTGGGACTGTGTAGCTTATATCTGCAGTTTGAATAGTACCAGGAGTACTAACCACATTCTGGAGACTTAGTAGATATTAACTTGTGAATATTGTGAGTCCACTGTACTCAGTATAGTCAGGAGAGTCAGTGTGTTTTCCCAGAGGGCACACTCATTCAGGGTTTTTCCATTACCAAGTTCCCCTACTTTTAGATACCACTTTAACAAATATAGTTGACTGAGCCTCTAGCCTAGTGCCTTTTCAACAGCAGGTGATTTTTAACGTGAAAATGGGTTTTCCTCGAGTTTTGCTGCTATAGTGTACTTGGTGGGCCAGTAGGATCAGGGTTAGCATCACCTGTCTTACTAAATGCAGAACCTCAGGCCCCATCCCAGTCTTGCATTTTAATAATGTCTCAGATGATGAGACATTATTAAAATGTATGTACATTAAAGTTTGAGAACCACTGTGCCAAATAGGCTTCAGAAATAAAGAGACAGGTGGGACAGAAAAAGGGTGGCAGATAGAAAAAAGTAGGCTTAAGAAAAGGCAAATTAGAGACCTTTCACAAAAGAAGCAAAAATCCCCAGCTCTTCACTTGCTCCCACGAGCACCGCTATACCATAAACAGATTTTTAAAAAGGTTTTATTAAGGTGTAATTGCTATACAGAAAGCCTGTATACAGTTCGCTGAGTTTGGACATGTGCATGCACCTGTGAAGACATCTCTGTCCCCTTCACCTTCAATAGCTTTCCTTGTGGCCCCCCCTTTATTTGGGAGTAAGAACACTAATGAGATCTGCCGCAAGTTGGCGGGGCGTCCCCGTGCCCGCCTGGGGCTGGGGTGCGGCACTGGGACAGGTGCCCGGCCCTGGCCCCGACTCAGTGCCCCGGACCAGGGCGCGGAGGCGCGCGGCTGGTGGCACC